TGGCTCAGTGGCTAAGACGCTGAGCTTGTCGATCAGAAAGGTCGGCGGTTTGAATCCCTAGCATCGTGTAACGGAGTGAGCTCCCGTTACTTGTCCTAGCTTCTGCCAATCTAGCAGTTCGAAAGCATGTAAAAAATGCAAGTAGAAAAATAGGGACCACTTTGGTGGGAAGGTAACAGCCACATGACCACAGAGATGTCTTTGGGCAGCGCTGGCTCTTCAGCTTTGAAATAGGGATGAGCACCGCCCTTTAGAGTCAGAAACGACTAGCAGATATGTGCGAGGGGAACCTTTATCTAATCAAATGTTGAAATAGTTATCTTAATAAAATCAAGAATTAGCTCTAACATTCTAAATTGATGTTAACATTGATGGACAAAATATAAACTACAGATAGTCCTTGACTTACAACAGTTCACTTAGTGACCATTCAAAATTACAACACTTGTGACCATTTTTTAGACTTATGACTGTTGCAGCCATCCCCATGGTCACATGATCAAAAATCAGACGCTTAGCAACTGACTCATGTTTATGGTGGTTGTAGTGTCCTGGGGACATATGATTATCTTTTGTGACCGTCTGACAAGCAAAGTCAATAGGGAGATGAGATTCATTTAACAACTGGGTTACTAATTTAACAACTGCAGTGATTCACTTAACAAAAGTGGCAAGAAAAGTCATAAAATGGGGCAAAACTCACTTAACAAATTTCTTGCTCAACTTAAATATTGGGCTCAATTGTGGTCATAAGTTGAAGACTACCTCTATATTGATCCAAGTTTATAAATCCCTCCCTCCTGTGAAAATTAATAATACAATTACCTTTTAAATGTGTAATTAATTGGAGATACTCTGCAATTATGCACTGTGCTGAAATTGTAGTAGGCGTTTCCAGCAATCCTATTATCATGGTGGCCTGATAAGTTATAGCAAAACAAACTTAGCTCATGTACAGTCTATCCGTATAGGACCAGTTTTTAGAAACATGATAATACTTTCTTGTTTTGTTATTTAATTTTTCTAACTGGGAGATCATTGTAACCATCTTTTTGATTACTTCTTTGGGCCTATTACAGATTTCCCAGATCTCCCCCCAGATCTCGCGTTGTCCACGCCTCAAAGTTCTGCGCCTTGAAGAGAACTGCCTAGAACTAAGTGTACTTCCTCAGAGTATTCTTAGTGATTCTCAGATCTCTCTACTTGCTGCAGAGGGTAATCTTTTTGAGATCAAGAAACTTCGAGAATTGGATGGCTATGACAAGGTTCGTTGAAAATCCCATATATGTATTTCTCTTTTCCACTACTTAGTACCATTTTTCCATATATTTGGGTAGGACAGTAGTCAAATGGCATCAGTTGTTAAATGAAATCATAAAGATAGCAATTTTTTTAGCCACATGAAGCTTAAATTCCTGGTTTATCTTAAAGTTTTGGAAAAGAGTTACAACACTTTCCTAATTAGTAGATTAATATATCAGAGTTGTATGAGGATTTTAAAAATATTCCCTAAACCAGAGGTGTCAAACTCACGGCATCACGTAATCACATGACATATTGTGACTTTTTCCCTCTTCACTAAACCCAGGGTGGGCGTGGGCAGCACATGATGCATCCGGCCCACAAGCTGCAAGTTTGACACCCCTGCACGAAACCCTATATCTTTCAAAACATTTGTCAATGTGGTTATATGGTTTTATATAAGGATTAAGAGATCCCAGAACAGCATAGGGCAGCACAGATAATTATGGCTTAAAGCAGAGGTCCAGGAAAGTATAGGTTTTTCTGAATTTGATCCAAAGAGGTTTATTAGGAGTAATATCCCATCACTATTCTTAAAATCTTCATATGAGAAGGTGACATTTTATAGGTGTCATGCCTATCGAAAGATTCCCTCAAACTGAATTTGACTCCTTTTGTCTCTTGGACTTTCCCAAATAGGCTTCTCGACAACTGTGGTTTGTTTTTGACTTTTTCTGAGATATTTCTTTGACCTTCCAACTTAGCTTACAACTTAACCCTGACTGATCATGCTTTTTTTTTAATGATCAGTCACAGTTAAATAGATGTTGCTACTTACTATTTCATTACATATACAGGCTTTTATATAAGGCTCTAATGGCAATTAAAACTTGTACTCCTATTAAACATCTTTGGATCAAATTCAGAAAAACCTATACAGCATGTTCTTGTCTGGTGTTCATCAAAAGAACTTTCCTGGACTTCTGCTTTAAGCCATAATTATCTGTGCTACCCTATGCTATTCTGGGATCTCTTAGTCCTCAAGTGTGATGCACTATATATATTTGCAGGACATTGAGAACTGAGGAAGAAGGAAACACGAAATACGATTCTATTACTGGTTGTTAAGATCTATATAACTATGATTTAAAAGAGTTCAATTTTAAAGCTAACTACAATGGACATTAGTGGCAAGTGATATGATTAAAATGGCCCCTCTCGCATTGACTGAACACTACTTTATCAGATAGCTATGAACCTTTTGTCCAACAGCAGGAGATTTAGGAAAGGAAAGACAACACAGAAGTTCTGAATTAATGTAGTACTGAAATTGTAACTAGTCAGTAGAAATAGATTATGTACTAAACAGAAAAAAATAGAAAACCATAAAACTAGAAATGAACTCTTTGCAAAAGTTATCTAGAACTTGATTTATATATTTATCAACAAAACTTTTTTTTAACATTTTAGTATATGGAAAGATTTACTGCTACAAAGAAAAAATTTGCCTGAGCTACTGTGCACGTGAATGAAAAGACAACAAGAAATGTGACTGATGTATGGATCCAAACTGCAACAAGCCTGTTGGGAGAATGACATTCAAGCCTTTATATAAAGGCAGGAGAACAGTGGCCTGTTGGTTTTAAAATGCCTTGATGTTTTAGATCTCACAAAATGAATCCAAGAATTGGTAACCTTGGATATAATGCTTAACATCCATTTGTTAAGTCTCCATCTACAACGATTGAGAAGAACATTACAAAATGACCTGAGCTGAAGAGGTTTTATGACGGTTCCTGACAACTTCATACATAGGAGGCAGGGCAGGGCAGGGCAGATGGAGATAATGGGCTTTGTGGGTAGGATCATCTGCCAGGAGGCTCACTAATTCAATATAGATTAATTCCACAATGCAAATCCATCCATGTCTTGGCTTTAAATATTTTACAGTGTATGTAGGGCTGGCCATTTGAAAAATTATGTACAATAGAAGCACAAATTATGGATGAGCATAGTGGCTTAATATACATAATAAAACAACAGTTGTCCTAGATTCACATCACAGTCATTCTCTAGATGGTTTGTCTTCCACTTGCTAATCAACTAGTTCACCTTAAGTGTGCTAAACTGATGGCTTGCAAAATAGGACACTGCATTTGAATCATTATGCGAGTAACAAACTCCAATGTTTGGGACAGGGAGGGTTTGATCACTGTATTAATGCCTTATGCAAAGCACCCATGGATATTTAAAATATGCAACCTTGGAATAATTTACATGCTTTTTACAAAAACCATACCTCCACAACTTTCTTAAACTTTTTTGGCACCTTTTGACAAAATAAACTGAAATATATTCTTATGTATTGGAATGGCAAATATGCAGCTGAAGCTTTCTGTAAAATGTACTGTTCATGTAAATGAAATTTAAATTAAAATGTAAAACAACTCTACAACCCTAGGGAATGGTCATAAATGAAAATGATTGGATGTTTCATTGTTGGGTTGAAACACGCTACTCTTACGTGATTTATTTTTACAAATATTTTTTTTTCATGCACTACAGGTTCCAGCTATATTTCTCATTTTTTCTACTGCTACTTGTAATCGCAACTGTAAAGACACATACGTTGCATGCATTATAAATCAGCAATTGGTACTGAGTACCAATAGGTAATCATGCTGTTTCTTCTAACACAGCAGAGCTGGGAATGAGATTGAGGCGTTGGAGGAGTTGGTCAGTGTGAAACCTAGGAAATAGTAATGATTTCTCCTATTGGTAGTTGTTAGATCTTTTTGTATTGGGTTATAATCAGTAAATCCTTGCCAAATTATTTTTAGCAATTTCATTTAATATAAATTTACATTAAATAAGATTGTCTAATTTTTGAAGAAAAACAACTTTGAAGATTTTTTTTTGGGGGGGGGGGGAACCATGTCATTCTTGTCTTTTATACCTGGATTGGGAATGAGTATCTACTCCTGTTCTTAGAATTCCCTGTAATACAGCATCTGTATTTGACTTGTAGAGACAATGGTTCAAGTTTTTTCTACTGCTCTCGTTTCATGCTAAACCATGTCCTTTTCTAACTCTAATGGGTATTAGGCTTATTCAAGAAACCACGCTTTAGTTCACACATTGCATTAAGCCTGCGACTGAATGTTCTCTTCACCTCCAATTCATCATATGACATAAGTAAAGATTTTTCTTAAAACTTTCCATCATGAAATTCCAGGGAAATTTGGAATTCCTAGATCTTGTTTTTTTTTAGCAAAGGTGACTATCCCATCAGCCCATGTCAATGGAGCTTAGTAATGGTTCACCTTCTGGACTCCATAGGAGTTCTGGACTAGAAGCTGAATCCTTAGCTGCAAGCAAAAACATTTATAGGGCATGTCTATTACACAGCCTAGGACAGTTTAAGGCCATTCAGATTTACACAGGTATTTGAAGAGTGAAAGGATTTATAAATTATATTCAGCCCAGCAAGTATACATGACATCTTGGGCATTAATTTACATTATAGCTAAAAACATGTATTTTCCAGCCAAATCCTGTAATTCATTTTGGTATTAATAAACATAACTTGAGAGGGATGTTCCCAGTTTTTGCACTATACTACAATTCCAGCATTCCATTGTACAAGGTTATATAGAAGACTAAGCTTTATTATAAAAATTAAACATTCAGTTGGAAATGTGTAAAGAAACAAAGCATGAAGAAATTAAGAATAATCACAGTACAATTAATTTGTTTTGAGCTTCTTTATAGTATCTAGATTGTTGCAGGTAATCCTTTGACTTGCAGCAAAACATGCAAGGACTAGAACTTTATAGCTTCAAGTTGAATAAAATACAAGTTCTGCTAAATATTGTGCCGTTGAATAAATCAACAATTTGGTGGATTCTTAATTAGAAGAGAATTAAACCTTTCTTGCGAAAGACTGGGCATCTAGAAGTTTTGAAATTTGGTCATTTGTATAGATATGAGAGAAACCAAATCTAGAACCTTAATCCTGAAATGGGAGTAAACTGAAATAGGCTCTAGGTCAAGTACTTATTACAGCAAACTACACCATGTGACCCATTCAACAGCTTACAGCTCATTAACAGTGATTCATAGCAGTTTCCCTTGGATCCTTCTACATACTAACATTTTTAAAGAAAATTTGATAAGCAGCAATTCAAATACAATAAATCATAATTTGTGATGCCTGCAGAACCATACCACCATTAAAATTTTGTGAGTTGGATCAAATTCAGGTCAATTTTAATAATAAAGCAGTGCTTGAAACAGATTTCTTTGAAAAGTGAATGAGAACGTATGGTCCAGATAGAAAATGTGAAACAGCAGTTATTAATATCACTAAGAAGAAGATGGCTTTTGACTTCATTCAACTTAGATTGTACCCTGATTTTGATTATTTAAGCCCCAATATTTTTTTAATAAATACAGTATTGAAATCACAATATGCTGCCCTCTACAGATTTGTACAGATTGTATGAATTGTTTATATTAAAAGGATAATACATTTCTATAAAGAATACTTTTATGAATTTTGTGCATTTCTGATAAAATGTTTTAAAAGATCCAGAGATTTCATAGACCAATCTCAGCAGTATTAATACCTACAAATACACTGTTTAAAAATGGCAGAGGTTCAGGATATTTATATAAAGGCATATTTTAATTTCCTTGCAATCTCATGAGATTCTAAATAACCAAGGGTAACATGCTCCAAGTCAAGCTGTCTGAGTTGCCCTTTCCTCTAATTCCACTAACATACATAGTTTCTGTGAAAGAAGCAAAAGAAATTAGGATTGAAAAATCCAATCTTTTGGAGACAAAAGTGAGAAATGTTTAAATTTGTCTGAGCTGCATTTATGCATTATGGATTTTTGTATGCTTATTTACCTAATTTGCATGCAAATTAGAATAGCTATGGCTTGAAAGTATACTTTATATCCATTATCATCTTTCCCCTTTATGAAAAACTTGGTAATGAAATCAAATGTTTTGAAAAAATAGGAGCAAGTTTAATTTCTACAAATATGTACATTTCATGAAAATCCATCATCCACCAATTCAGCGATGATAATGCAGTATTAAGTGAGGTAATTAAATTTAGTGAGTGCATTCTCTTTGCCTTTATAATCAGTCAGTTTGCACTCTTATCTCTGAGTTGCCATACGGAAAGGAAAGGAAAGGAAAGGAAAGAAAAAAAAAGAGTGGTGGTGGTAAGACTAACCTCACAGAAAGGACAAACCAAGAAAAATGAAGCCCTGAGGATATGAACATTAATAAGAAAGTTACATTTCTGTTGTGCTATTTTCCTGGATTTTCATGCTAAACATGTACAATACAATAATGTTCTGCTCTGTATCATTTTCTGAACGTTGCTTCTCTTCTTTGGAAAGTGAGGATATTTGTAGAATGAGAAAAGATTTCAGTTGACTGAAAACTGGCAATGGCTATCAGTTCTCAATAAGCTTTTTGGCTCTTGCATTGGCTTGCTCAATACGGTCTTTGTTAGTTTCAGCCTGAAACAGAAAACAAAAGGCAAAGTTACTTGTAAATTATAAAGGTGCACAGATACTATTCAAGTCTTTTTATATTTCTTCAAGAATTGCCAAGAATGTGGAGAACTAAAACAGAGACATTTAAAGTTATATGCAAGTTATATGAATAGAAAAAAAATCCCCTTTCTCAATTCTTTTAGGATATGCCTTTTTGTAAATTGCTAGGAATTCTGTAAAGATTCAGGGTATTCAAATGAAATGAAAGAAATTAAATATAAAGGACAAATTCCAGCTTGGAGGGAAAGTACTGGAGTGTATGTTTGAGTCCACTGACTTGTTTAGAAAACAGCCACAGTAAAATTAGCCATGAAAGTACCATCATATTTAGGAGCAAGGAAGAAAGCAACATAGGTTTACAAGAGAAAACCTTTTCAATAAGTCCATAGCTGACAGATGCAAATACATTCATAAGAAATCTTCTCATTATTGTACTACTACACTAATATATAGTATGGTTAATTTTTTAATTTAAAAATTTAACATTTGAAACAATTCTTTTAAAAAAATAATTTTAAATATTCAAAACTCTTGTTAGCAAATATTTACAACCTATTTACCATTCAGTCTAATGACTAGCTCTTACTAATCTGTTCACATACAGTACACAACGATACCGCTGGTAAGCTTACTGAGAGAAGCAAGGCAGAAGAAATACTTAAAACAAGAATTACTTAAAAGAAAAAGAGTTCTCAAAACAATATGGTCACTTTTCTTGATATTATAAAGTGCTGCTATGATTTTTAACAGGATTTGTTTATCACCAGTTATGCATCATTATTCTTTAATTGTTTGAACACCCATCAATGATAAACTTTTCAAATTTATGTATTAAAATATTTTTAAAAACTTGCTTCAATCAATCTTCCCTGATTTATACCTCATTTTCTCTAAAGATTGCTTTGCTTTAAAACTGGTACGAAGTAATACCAACTTCTTTTTAATGATAAAAATATTTATTCTTTCAACCAACTTATTGCATTTGAATGGGACACATGCAAAGCAAGAATGTAAGAATGTAATCTATAACCTTGGGTACTCAGTGTGATGTCATGGATGCTAACACTTCCATTGGTGTCTGCCAGGTTTTCTAGCCTATCTGCGTTATCAAAAAATTAATTAACTAAAGGCACCCAGAAAAACAGGAAAGAGGATTAAGATAATTGATGTGGGTTTAAAAAAAAAACCATCTGTGATCAGACCAGCCAATGGTGCTCTGATTCCAAAGGTCATTTTTGGAGAGTTGACTTATTAGTCACTTATTCCTCTTTACCTCCTACTGTATTTCTGTCATGGCATTATATGTAAACAAGACTTTTTCTTTTTCTTGGCACTGGTTTATCCATTACAGAATATCAGTGTTTCAGAGAAACAAGTGCAGAACTTTAAGAAAGCCCAGAGTCAGAATAGAGCAACTTCAGTGGTATTTATTCTATTTTGGGCAACACAAACCTGCTTTTTAACCAACCAGGATGTGATCTATAGTTCAATGTGATATACATCGTATATACACATAGTGACCTTGTGTGTGTGTGTGTGTGTGTGTGTGTGTGTGTGTGTGTGTGTAGGACCACCAGTTTGCGCTCTGTGAGGGTAAATATGAGTTGCATCAGATTCCACATTTACCTTGTACTTAAATTCTTGGACAAATTGTTTTTTTTTTAAAGCAACATCAATATCTTCCTGGAAATTAGTGTTATTCATTTTATGATGGATAACAATTAGAAGGTACATGTAACATACTTTTCAAATGTGGTCCTCATTCCCAACAATACAGTATTTATTGGCATTGGTATTCGTTTTATTTTTCATATTTTATCATGATGGAAATATTATTTCAAGTTCACAATCCCAAAGGGTTCACCATGAAATCAAGCTTAAATATATCCTACATAGAAAAATAATGCTTTGGGTGGAGAAATGTTATCCAGACAAGAGAACACGGACACAAGGTGTTGGTAAATTGGAATACCTCTACACCAGGGTGTCAAACTCAATTTCATTGAGGATCGCATCAGGGTTGTGTTTGACCTGGGTGTGTGTATGTATGGTAGAGGTGTGGCCACAATGGATGTGTCCAGCTTGACATCATTCCCGTTAGGGCGCCTGTAGTGGCCCACGTGTTTCTGCCAGCGAAAACTGGCTCCTAAGCTCCAGTTTTGCTGGCATAAGCACTGTGAGCCAATCCTTTGCTGTTTCCGGGGCAGTCCTGTGGGCCACATCTAAGTCCCCCCGAAGGCCAGATTCAGCCTCCAGGCCTTGAGTATGACACCCCTGCTTTACACCAGGGGTGTCAAACTCGATCACATCGCAGGCCAAATTGTGACGTATCATGATGTTTACCTTTGCGGAGCTGGCGTGGTCTGTGAGGGCTGTATCCAGGCTGTGGGCCAACAGTTTGACAGGCCTGCTCTACAACATGGTACTGTATTCCAGAACAATTAGTTACTCTTCCAAGCAATTAAGTCCCTGATAATTAAGTTAGTTAAGGATCCAGTTCTCACTTCTTACCTTCACATTTATTCGGTCTATTTGCTTATTTTGTGAATCAATCTCACTGCCCATATCCACAGCCATATTTTTCAGATTTCCCAAGATGTGTCCCACTTGAGTTAAGTTATCCTCCATCTCATCTTCTCTGGCATCGTTTGTTATCCTTTTCAAAATATCGGAAAAAAACTGCTTTGAGCACTTGCAAGTTCCTTCTTCTTCATTGTAATGAACTAAATTCATATTCTCCCTCTCTCTCTCCCCCCTTCCTCCCTGCCTATACACATACTTACACTAGTCAAACTGCCATAGGGCAGTTCTCAATAGAAATTAAAAATCATCAGTTAAATCAGAACAATTACAAAAAATACTAAAACCATAAACAGAAATTAAAAAAACAGAATCATAAACAGTCCTAATTCTATCTCTCATACACATTTCATAACTTCAGTCTTAAAATACATCTAATTGGCAATTTATAAAAGATCTTAAAAATAAGCCTGTGTTTTTAAAAGACCTTTACATTCCATCAATCATGTTACAAAATTTGATTCAAAACGTCCTATTATTTGGAATCTTTGAAAAATTACTAAACAGTGTTCCAAATAAACATTCATGATTTACACAGAACAAGCTTCTCTTGATGGTTTTCAATATCCCAGTACTGTTCTAGAGGAACAGATACGGAATATGTATTCATCAGTGGAAGAAGAAAATACTATTTACCGCTTTATGTATCCTCCACTTGGTCCTCCTGAGGTCTGTTGTTGGTAATTTTCTGCCCGTCCTGGTTGTCTGGTTATTATATGATCACCTGAGTTCTCACCCCATGTTGTCTTATATGTTTTACTAGTCTCAAAGTTCCTCGTTCTATAAGAAAAATAGAATAGCTTCCGTTAGCTAAAAAGATAAATAATTGAAGCAGCCAACTGATTTATTGCTTATTACATGATCAAGTTTGTGATTAGGAAGAAAAATGTATGTACCACTTAGCATTATATTTATGGTATATCTTTAATTTAATGAATTGTATGGAGAAACTTAAAGAGCCAGCTTACTGCAGTAAGTCACCAGGCTAGAAACTGACAGTCAGTGAGTTTTAGTCCTTCCTTAGGCATGAAGGCAGCTGGATGACAGTGAGCTTATCACCCTCTCTCAGCTGCAAGGAGGCGGCAATGGCAAACCACTTTTGAAAAACTATGCCAAGAAAACTTGAGGTCCAGATAGTCATCAGGCGTCAAAAAACTGACTTGAAGGCACAAACCAACAAAATATTGAGAAAATTATATTATACTAATTTCACCAAATCATGCATCAGATAATAATTACCAGATAATCATTTTGTTAATAGCAACAAAAATGAAGGAATAAATGCAAAACTTATTTTTCTATTCCAACATTCATATAATCAAGATAAACCTTGTATTGTTTTATGCTGTATTACTCTGTAATATTTAATTTTTATTTGGTTCTGGACTGACTCCGTACAGTGATACCTGATATTTTAAAAATGAAACATAGGAATCCTGAGGCATTCTTACAAAACAGTTGCATGCTGAGTAACATATGACAAAAAACATTTCCCCCATGTGGTAGATCAGAGTTAAATCAATATGTGAACATTATCATAACATTTCACATTTTTCCTGTAAGATTTTTAAACCTATGTATAAGCTATTGTTTTCTATAAGCTACATAGGAAAAATATCCTAATAGACTTAAATTGTATATCAACTGTTACTTGCATTCTAAACATTGTAACTATTATTTCAGATTAATCAAATCAGAATAAATAACTAAATATAAACTACAAGCAACACGGCACAGACACAACTACAGACCATCACAAGGTTGCTTGCATGTTATGAAAACATGCACATTCAGACATGCATCATGTTAGAACATCACCTTCAGATAGCTGGTTAGCAGTGTAAACTGCTTCTTAATACAGGTATTTTCCTAAATTCCATTTTGACCAGTTAAGTGGATCCAACCTCTGATGTTAAATCTTCATTTTATTAAGAAGGAAAAGTAGGGTGATTAGGAGAGAATGAAAAAGAGTGAACAGTAAGACAAGCAAGCAGATAACTATTTGTTAGCTGACAAAACTATTTCAAAGTAAAGCTGAGAGTATGCTATAATAAGAAAAAAACAGCTTTAACACAAGTCAGGAAGAAAAGCAGTATTATGAATACAATATTCAAAATTTGTAAAAGTGCTGTGCTATTCTCATATATATTCCTTCCATATATGTAATAGGTATTACGTAATTTAAAATCCAACTCAAGCTTATATTAATTGCTTTAGTTTTCCCATTCCAATATATTATCAGATTTAAGTCACAGGTATATGTGTACATCTAACTAAGCCTTATAGTGCCTAACTACTGGTACATGACCACGGGCTTTTCTTCCTTAATTGGCACAGCTTGAAAACAACAATTTAAACATTCACTGTTTAAACTTTATTATATCATCCACCACAACTTGTATTTGTCATTACCAGAAAACCAAAAGCAGAACAAACCCACAAAAGTTAAAAACATTCTGGTTATTATTTTATTCACAGGTTAACTTTATGGTCAAGTATAGTTAAGTAAGTATTTCCTAACTTTTCCCTTTTTTATAGGCACTAGTACACTGAACAGAATGTTTTTGTAAATTGCAAGAAAAACCAGGGGACAGCAACCATAGTTGGTGGTTGTCATAGCATGGGACCCCAAAATTATTTTTTAAAAACATACATTTTTAAAAGGCTGAAATTTCACAGGACATCAGTGTTCTTGTTTGAAATCTTTTAAAATTTGAAGTAAAAACGACAATAATGAAATCTTTATTTTGGAGTCTATACTACCAACCACTGCAACAAACAGTTTCAGGCTTCATAGATTTGAAGAAAGGAGCCATCATTCACACTTGCATGTACTCATAAAGTTTTGGATAATACCCCATTGGAAAACCTGAAGGGGCAGGTTGGGGTCAGATCATCTCAGAAAAGGACTATTTATGTAGTTACTCAGAGTGTACCTGATTTAATAGAACATAAATAAGACCATATGAATGCAGTCAGTGGCTTGGACAATGTTAAGGTAAAATGTGATTTCTCTGAATTTTGTTTATTGTGTTAATGTGAACCCAGCTGCTATTGTTTGTATGGTTTATGGCTTAGGATTATAAATGAACACAGACCATGGTTTAGTTATTACAACATCCAATTTGTGCGTTGAATTCTGTAGCAGTTTTTTTTTATCAAGGAGAACAGTAGCTTCTTTAAATTTTCTAGTCACTGAAGTTCTAAACAAGAGTGAAATTTTTCCTTGAAAAAAGCGTCTTACCAATCTGCTTTTAACTGACCTATTGCATGGACAGACACAGAGACCACAGCACTTATTAAGCTCTGTCAAGTTCTTTTCAGCTTCTTTCATGTCTTTGTTTATTTGATCCATACCTTCTTCTATGTTGTTTAACTTTTCTAGGAAAAAAAAGAAGCTTTAGAAACTTTAAATGACGTAAATGCTTACACTTCATATAGGAAGGTCTGCATTCAAAACACTTTTTAAAAAGCATTTAAAAGCAGCTTAAGAAGTGTTAATGTTTCTGGAAACTACTGCAAGCCTATGGACAATGGCCATGCCTGTATCTGGACTAAATTAATTATGTATATTTATTCTGTATCATTATGAAATATAGGGTTCTACATTTATAATCAAAGATAACATATTGTTCTTGTGCAACTCACCGCCTTGTTCATCTAACATGGTAATGGTTTTGATTCCAGTATCTTGTGACTATAATGGGGGGGGGGAAAAGAAATACAGAACGATTACACAGTGGAATTAGTGTAATGACACAATTTGCTACAAACTATTGTGTGGAGATACTACTAAATAATTACATAAAAATTGATCAGCATAAATACTACTATATAAAATTTCCTTCCAGGTAGAATAAAAATTCCAATATTGCAAATTATTTTACAATACTGGTATAAGTACTTGGTGAATTGGTTGCTTTTGTTTTTTGGTCCTATGACAAAATTATTTCAATGTTATTTCAAGTTTCATTGTTTGCTTATTTTTATTTATTTAAGAAAATTTATATGGCTGTCCAATTTACTCTGTGACTCTGTGTGACTTACAAAGATAAAAACCCAATATTAAAATAATTGAAAAGCAGAAAAAAAAAGCAGGGAAGTTCTAAGAAAATCTGAGAAATGCTTCCATACATCTAATGCTCAATGAACATAATATACTCAATGTCATTTCATGTTCTCCGCCTGATTTCCCACCCACAGCTCAATGAAAGCCTTTAACTTCTTCCTTACCTCAATGGCCAGGCCAAGGATCCTCCTTGTGCTTTCCAAAGACTAAAATAAAGATAAGATTTCATTTCAGGCATGGGGATTTTCAAAGATATGTAATTATTATATAATTTTAGACATTGCTGTAAGTAAGCACTACAGTATGCTTTTGTTTCTGACACAATGCAACTAAGCAAGGTTTTGTCTTGATTAGTGGTATTTTAAAACTCAACATTATGATGCAGCCACTATTTTCTAGACGAACCTTTTTAGATTCTGTGCAAGTCTGTCCTCCTGGATTCTATAACCTTTTTTTATAAAGGATCTGAAGTTTGTTCTATTGAGGCAGTGAAGACAAGCAGAAATACGCCATTAGGAAGTCTCCACCTCTGTCTTCCAAACTTGGTGGCATTGCCCCTTGATGGTCTGTTTTGGCAGGGTGAAGAGGATGGGAAGGGAATCGTTGCAATAGCTGATCCACTCTGCTATTCGATCTGTCTCTAAGAGAAAGTATGTAAGAGCCCTCAGAAAAGAGGCCACCTGCTAACCCTGAAAGGACTTTGTGGGGCTAAAATACAATCTGGAGGAAGGAGGGATGCTAAAGTGCGGCATCGTATAATATTTCCATCTTTTCTTTTTGGCAAACCATCCTTGATTTCTCCCAGTTTTCTTACTTCCATTATGATGTCCTTACTATTCCCTGGCTACTGTGCTAAGAAAGAATTTCAGCAGAAGTAACTGTTTCCACAGGTTGATCCTGATATATAAAATATGTATATATGTATGTCTGTGTGTGTGTGTGTGTACACACACACACACACACACACCTCTTGCAGTGTGCTAAGCTTGATTGTGCTTATTCATGAAGGATATGTATTATATGGTGGTGGTGGTTTTTTTACACATAGGGCTATGTGTGACATATAAACAAGACTTTCTCCTTTAGAAAATGCATTAATCCTAAGGAAAAACTATTTTTGCTTTCTAAATCCAAGTATTTTTGCTTTCTAAACCCTCATTTAGCAAAAGGGAAAAAAGTTGTGATATATCACGTGATGTGTCATTACAAATTTGACACCTCAGATTTAGTTTATTTAAACCTCCCCTTCACTGCAATATTATCAAGCAATATAGGATAACCAATCAATTTTAGTGGAGATCATGCACTCTAAGTTTATCTACCCAAGTTATTGGGCAATTATATATTATTTGGGGTGTTTACCTCATCTGTAACTTGATGGGCTCTCAGTTGAATTTCTTCAGGTGACAACTCAGCCATGTTTGACCCGTGTTTTTCAACTGCAATTATTCACAACAGGATTTCTTCTAAAATAGTAAAGTATCAGTGATAAGGGTATAATCTTGACCAATTTTAAGCAAATAAATAAAGTGTGTCCTATTAAATTTTTATTTATTTAATTTATATGCCAAATTTATAACAGTTCAGTTGTTAGCTTTCTAGGAAAAGAAAATTTCAATATTAGAATGTTCTATAAAAGTAACATAATGAAATACAATACTTCATGTATTTATTTATTGTTTCAATCAGTTTATATGGCCATCCATCTCAACAAGTGACTGTTGGCTGTAAACATAATTAAAATAAAGTAAAAAGAATTACAAGCATTACCAACACTGAACTGCAAAGTAGGCGAGAAACATTAAACTTAAATCATTAATGTAACCAAGACGTGGCTCGCTGAACACAATCTGGGCCCAGGTCCAGGACTTTAATGTCATCCTGATCCCCAGATAATTAATATCTTTAATGGTGGAACTACGAACAGTATCCAAATATTCCACACTATGTCTTCATTATAAAATAGCAGTTTAAATAAAAGTTACACTTCTACATGATAAGTTGAGAAATAAGAAGTCATGTTTGCTCCAACCACCCTCTTCACCAAATGATTCTCATGCAGATGGTCTTCCATTAACTCTGACCAACTTTGGATCTAAGAAATTAATTTCTAATTTTTTTATAAACTATCACTACTATGGTATTTCTAAATAACCTAAGACCTATTGATTCCCTCACTTGGTCAATTCTCCTGCTTTTTGAGGGCCCACCAATCTTTTTTTAAGATATTAGTATAGAATTACAACTATTGGGTTAAGGCAAAATTGGATGGCAAGTATTGTTTTTCTTCCCCATAGAAAAATACATTTTTAGGAATGTATTTGCAGAGAGTACAAATTAAACAAACTTGTTTTAAATAGGACTGACAATCATATTTCAGTTGCTTTTACTAAATAAGTTCAGTATTCAAATCTGAAGAAAATATCAAATATTCATAAATAGTAAACAAAAAGATGGTATAATCGACACACATAAGGGCAAAGATAATTTGGATTCAGGACAATTGTAACAATAGAAATGGCAGTTCTGCTTTCTAGATAGAACTATCAGATCTAAATAGCTACCTCAGATAAAGAAGTCTACAAGTTGCCCAGATTCATCTCTGGTTCTTCCATTACCACTATTAACTGGAACATAATAGACAATTTTCACTAAACTATGGATACTACTTCTATGCACACCTATAAGTTATCACTTTATATTTTTGACATACGTCATTCATAATTTTGTACCTTTACTTCCCTATTTACAAAGTCTACTCTACTGTATCAGACCATCTTCACTCACATCTATTAGATCCTTCCCTTTTTCTCTTAGTTCCAAAAACATACTGTTTCTTTCATTTCACTTGGGAAGTCACCTTCCTTGCTTTGTGTTTACATGCCTAGGCATAGTTCTCTATATGCTGTGAATCAGCCAGATAGGCCTGCAGATACTTATCTCCTGGGCCCATGGTTTGGTTAATTGACACTTTCATATCATACCTTTTAGTAAGAGGAAAAGAGAGTAGACTAAGTCAGTGTCCAATAGTCAACATTATTGTAAGGACAATGTTAATTTTGACAAATTTGGCTCAGTATTGCCACAAATGTAACCAAAGCAACTCTTACTGCATATATTCTCATACTATTTTATAAAAATTAAAATGTCTAATCTGGGGACTATCTTACAAATTAACATATTATTGCCTGCATCCTAGTAATCAGGAAGTATATGCAGTGTTCAAAGATACACTTCCAGATGCTTTTATTTACCTATTCTTGGGATTTTTTTTGTCACAATAAATATGAGAAGAAAAGAAACAAGTGACATTTCACCCCAAAGCACTATGTGAAAAACACAAAGTAACTTATATTTATGCAGCATTTTTCCAACTGTTTTTCCATTCTACAAGTCAAAATGGGAACCTCCGCAATTTGCTAATAGTATTTTATTTTTAAAGGAGTGGAGACTGCTATTTAGATATATACTGTATTGGTATTTCTGTGCCATACAGTATTTTCCAATTTCCATCACCAAGAAATGTGGAGAGGAAATATTAACTCTGAGCATCCCTCTCTATTCATGGAGAAAGTACAGGAGAAGAGAAGTTGCTCTGCAGATATATGCAGAAAAGGTCTTTGCCCTTCTCAGGGATCCCAGTTTATTAAGTTGTAATAGTAGGACATATTTTCAGCAGAAATCATTTGTTCTTCTGAGAACTAATTATGACATTTGCAACGTAAACAAATCCTCAAAACAGAAAAGCAGAAAACCTGTCAACTGGCTTATATTGACTGCATTTCTCCACTGATAAATTGCTATTCACTGATGGACTTGATTCAGCATCCATGCTTCCCATCCCCACCCAAAACTTCAGATAAGAAAGGTACCTGAATGGAAATACACTTGCAAGAAAAGACAATGATGTAACTAAATAAAGAACTGAATTTTTAGTCTCTTGGGGACAATTAGGATAGGTATGTTAAGTCTATCAAATGCTTAATGTACCCGTTTAGCTTACATTTTATGCTTAAAGTGCTATTATAGCCTACCATTTTGCCACTAAAATGACAATGAGTACATAATATATGTCCCTATAATTCAGGATGAAGTCAAAAACTTAAATCTATGATGAAACAACTGACTTTCCAAAGTACCAATGAGCTTCAATCTAGGATGGAACTTCTTACGTAAATCTGTTAAATTACACATATGAACTTCCCGATTCTCAAAATGAAAAGCAAAAGAAAGGTTCCAAGAAAATAGTTGCGTTACTGAAATATACTTCCCCAAAGTGTATAAACAAGTAACTAAATTTTAGTTATGCAGTAACTAAATTTTGCAAGTGGGTTTTTTTTTTCTTATAAAGGGAACTGATTTTGCAAAACTCTCCACTGAGAAGGAATAAAAAATACATGAATACTGGTTACACTTGATTTAAACTTCCAGATTTTGTTTCCTGTCCTTTCCCCTATTCATTCTTCGGCCCCCCTTCCAATCTGCACCATTTAAGGAAACAGATGCAGCCAAAGGGATAATAGCCACCACGATGCGTACCTCTCGTTTTATGCTTTTCCCCACTACAATGAAAAGTCCCGAAACAATAAAGGCCCTCTCCAGTCCCAGCGCCTCCTTTGGCCTGCGAAGTGAGGGTTCAGCAAAAGGATCCCCGCAAACAAGAAATACAGCGCGGCCCGGAGAGGAAGCCGACCGGCAGCATTCCTCCCGAAACCCAACCAGCCCAAGCTGAGGCCTAAGCCGAGAAGGCAAGGCAGCCACGGGCGCTCCCCCACAAGCCCCCGAGGGGTGGCCACTCCTGGCCCCGAGGTCGGCCTCGCCGCCCGGCTCCGAAGGATGCTGCGGCGCTCTCCCTTCGCCCTCTCCGGCTTCCTGCGCCCATTCCCTTCCCCTTCCTCGCCCAGGAACCAACCCGGACTGCTCTGCCACCGCCTCGCCCAGGAACCAACCCGCCGTTTAATCCTTAACCCTTAAGCCTTCCTCCGGCGGCGGAGAAAAGCCTCTGCGTCCCCAGCCTCCGGCACCCACCCCGCAGTCCCTCCGGCGCTCCAGCCTGGCTCAAGGGGACCTTTGACGCCCCTCCCGCCCGTCCTGCCCGGGGACATTCGTCGCTCGCCCCTTCCTCTTTTCCTGCCCGCCCGCCGGGCTCTCGCTCTCCCCGCCGTTCCTTCCCTCCGGAGACTCACCAAGGCGCTTCGTTGGCAAAAAAAAAAAAAAAGCCCGAGCTCGCCCACCGGCTTCGCTCCGCCCCGCCCGCCAGACCTTTCGGGCCTCTGGGCGCAGATCTCCCGCTCTCTCCGCCGAGGGGACGAGCCTCGCGCCCGGTTTTCGGAAGCCCCTTCCCTCCGCTGAACCCCACCCAGCCGGTTTCCTGCAGCGCCTCCTCCTCCTCCTTCCCTCCGGTTCCTTCGGAGGGCCCAGCTGCTACCTCCTCCCGCCTCCCTCCTACCCGGTCTTTGAGTCGCAGCGCATTGGTCGCTTTGGAAGGCATTGCTAATAGCTATTGGTGGGAGGAAATGATCGTCATGTTTATCTCGCCTTTCGCTTTCTCAGGTTGTTGATTCGCCTCCAGCATCCTGCTGGCGCTGAGTTTATTTTTTTAACCAAACCCCATTCAAGGTACAAAAGGTCTCTCGGCTGTGCAAAAATCAAGGTCCTTCGGTACCGACAACGCATCTTCTAAAGCAAGCATCATCATCATCACAACAACAAAAACTACATGGCCCAAAGACCAAATCGTTCTCCAAACATATCAACACGAAGATAATATACAAAATGCTAAGTGCTCAAGAAATGCAGCATACTGTCCCATCTGGCAATTCCCTCCAGAGCTCTGGAAATATTAACATTTTTTCTTTCTTTCAGGACCCCTTCATACTGTAAAAAAGCTTTTGCTTACATGGGTTGTTGTTATCAGTATTTACGGTATTTAAAAAATTAAAATGATGCATTCATTGCTATTATCTTTTCTCACAATTGTTTGATGGCATTTTAATGTCTTACTTTTCAACATAATTTGATTTTGGGGAACCCTGAGAAGGTCTTGGGAGGCTTCCAAGTGTCTTAGAGCCACACTTTTCTCAGGGATTTGTTCAAGCTGAAGTCCAGATAAATCATAGAGTACATATAACTGTAAGAAATGAATAATGAATTAAATCAATGATTTGAAGGTTTACCATCATGGAGCAAAAACACAGACTGAGAGATAGAACCCCTTGATGTCACCATGTAGGAGTGGAGTGTGGCATTACCAGTTGTGTGTAGGATACCCAATTGCACATCTCCATCTAAGCTGTGACACAGATGTCAAATTCTGATTTTGGTGTCTGGAACCAGTTAAATGGGATGAAACACATTAAAGCTGAGCCCAAACAAGACAGAGTTGCTGTTTGTTTGATGTAATGTTATGTTGGTGCTGGCACTGTCTCTGGAGGTGGAAGCACCACTCGTGAAGGAACCCAAGTATATTTGGTGATTCTCCTGTATTCAAATCTACTGCTGGATGATCAGGTAAAGATTAGAGCCCTGAGTGCCTTTGCCCAGCTTTGTTTGGTGGCTAGTTGTAACCCTACCTGAAATGTGAGAATCTAATAACACTTATTTTCACATCTCTTCTCTGGGCTACTGTAATGGGCTCTAAATAAATCTACTTTTGGGGACCATTTGGTAACAATAATTGGTACAAAATGCTGTGCTCTGCATACTCATGCCTTGGATCAGAGGTCTTCAAATTTGACTTCAAGATTTGTGGACTTCAACTGCCAGAATTCCTCCTCCAGTCATGTTAGCTCAGAAATTCTGGGAGTTGAAGTCCACAAATCTTACACTCGCCAAGTTTGAAGACCCTTGCCTTGGATTTACTTTTCCTATATTTGCTCCATGAATCTTAAAATGATTGATTTAATTGTTACAGAAGTACACATGAAGTGCCTCAGAAGGTGTGAATTATGAAAAAGGATCTTTGGTAAAATGATGCAGAGCAAGAAATTGTGGATAAAAAAGTATATAAGTATGAACATGACAAACAACTGAGAATGAAAGATGTTGCATCAAATGTGTAGAGAGCAAAAAATAGTTGAAATAATGTAGTGTACTTCTGCCTACTTTGTTATAATTGTTAGAAATGAGTATATTGAGTATCCTCAATTAAGTCTTAGTGTACTTAATTGACTAAAGAGAAACTTAAATGTTTTAAAAGTACAGGTGACAGGGATTGTGTCAAGAATAAACATTAAACGAATACATTGAATTGAATACCAAAATATTCAATTTAAAACCAGTACATTGAAGTGATTTGGTCATGAGGGTACAATGAATAAGGATCAAATACCAAAACAGAGATGTGAAGGGAAAATAGATCAGTTAAGAAAAGACCAAGAAAATGGAGTTGGATGGAATTGGTAACATCCTCAAAAAGGGAGATGCTAAAGAATAAAAGGCAATTTATAAATTTATAACACAAACATTGCATTGTAGCTTTCTCCCCCCCCTCCCCCTTACCTCCTGTCTTTAATTTCTTTGGCTCATACATTCTTATTTCTGCACTCTGCATAAAGCTACTAATTATGAAATGTAATCAGAGATAGGTATGGAGGTGGCATAATTAGTAGGATCCATGAAGGATCCTCATCCTATGAAGGCATATGCCTTTTTCATTTTGATTATTTTTAATGGTTGTTCCCATATCAAATAATGAATTTCATTAAGAATCCATGCCTTGAGCCAGTATGTTCTACTACTTTTATACCAAGGTAATGTGATCTATTATTTGATAGTGATTTCATATGGGTCCATGTAAAAATAATTGTGCAGCCCTTAGTGCTCTCTGAGCTTTGTTGTTTACTTATAGATATATTATTCTTAGCAACATCATCAGTGCTAACAGATTGTTATGCAAAAACACCAACCCCTTGGTGGATTTCATAATTGTGAGATATTACTTTACTGTTTCATGTAGATCCTGTTTAAGAATGTAAAAAGGATATGAACTTAGTAACATCCATTCTGATTTCATGGATCTGACATTTACTTATTTAACAGGAGACAACTAATACCAGTTGTCCACAGATGAATTTCAGTAATATCAGTAAATATTCATCTTCAAAAGAATATCCATCATGCTAAAAAAAATTTTATTCTTCAATATATACACAGATCAATTATTTTTGTTGTTGTGCACTAGTTGCTTGATTTTTAAAAGATCATATTTTTTTAAGCTTCCAGAAGCACTATCCAGATTTTCAGGTCTTAAGTAGCAGAAAAATTATGACATGGTTGTAGCAGGTTTTTAATAGTTATCTTGTTATCAGGTACTTTCTAAGACACCGCTCCAGCCATAAACTAAGGGTCCTTCTATCTTAAAAAGCTGGAAACAATCACATGAAATCAATAAGTAGGAAAACTCTGCATGATTGGGATTCATGCTCCAGTGTTTTGTATTAGCTGTGATGCTGGGTAAATTAACGTTACATAAATTGTGTGTCTTTTCATGCTACCTAGCCTCTGCGCTTGGAAATTAAACATGGTTAAGCCAAGCCAATACACTACATGGATGGAAAATCAGCAGGAAATGCCAAGGCTGTACTGCAAATTACACTGGGAAACTGAATAAACAGGAAAGGCGATGTCAAAGCACTTCCCGCTGGTTGGTAAGATAATTAATTATACATACGTGTCCTGAAGGCCACCAGGAGCTGAATTTAAAAAAAGGGTTTTTTTCGTTTTATTTAAAAACACTCGAAGGGAATATGTTACTGCTGTGATAGTGTTAAGATCTTTGAGAACTTGCTGCATATATCCATTTTGTTTGGAAAGCCTTCATTTTCAGTTCACAATGTCAACTGCTCTTTAGCTTCTAGCCATGCCTTTTTATTTGGAGCAAGAAGCCAAGAAGATTATTTCCTCCACGCAAATCTCATTCAGAAGCACTCGAAACCGAGCTGACCAATAGCCCGCTGTACAAACCCAATACAGTACTGCAGCCAAAAGGTAACCCTACACAAAAAAAACCCTACATCTACCAAAATGCATCACGCTGTTTCTTAGAGATACTCCGTGTGACTCATTTCCTGTTTCTATGGTATTGCAAAACTGGCTTCTCTGGGTTGTAAACTACTATTCCCAGAATGCATACAAAAAGAGGATTTGGTTCTCTGATTGGTTGAAACTGTATGAAGACGCTCCCGGCCTGTGGGGCGGTTCTCTTTTGGGTCGAGCTTGCAGGTCTCCGGAGGAGGCTGCACCGGCAATGGGCGGGGTTTCGGTAGCCCATCTTGTTGGGTGATGCGTTCGTGCTTCGCGGCTGGATGAGGCGGATACGATCTGTGAGTATCGCGAGGCAGGCAATAACTTCGCCCTTTAAAGTATGAGATGGAAGCTGAGCTTAAGTCCCGGACTGGAGGGTTGCTAATGTTGATAACACTTGTATGGGGGTGAAGCTTTTATTTTCATTGCAGCCGGCTGGAAAATAGTTAAGTAATCTTTGAGGATCAGTTGATAAGGAACCAACTTCAGAAGTTGGAAAGCAGCCGAGGACCTAATACTGTAGCACAACGAATCCCCGTTTGTATAAGAAGTTAACATTCTTTGTTTTTAAACCACAACGTTAGAGGAAAACACAGGAACCCTATATAAGCTTCGGAAATGTTTCCAAACTTGGTTTTCTTCCACCAAACTTGGCTTTCGTCATAAGCTGCACAAATGGGAGCATTCAAGAAATAAGCATGATAAAGCCTTATATTTGGACTGCAATTGAATAAAACTGCTGTGGTAAAAGAGTCCTTATGTATCCTGTTCAGTAGTTCTGGCCAAACGTTGGGGAACCAATGCAGCCATCAATAATTCAAAAAATTAATAGAAGAAATTACTAAAGAAACAGTTTTTAATTGGCTTAAAGGTGAAGGCAATAAATAAGAGAAATTCATTTTATTCCCACTTCACAAAGCGGCATAAATATGGGAGTGGTGGTTAATTTTTTTTAAAAAAAATAAATTTTATTAAGTAAACATTAAAACAGTTGAACACAGTGCAACTTTCTTGGCCATCATTTTGGCCATACATACCACAGCATAGAAATAAATATAACAGTTAATTTTCCCTTTTTCCTTATGTTGTTGATATAATGCTAGTTACATATTTGTTTCTATTTGCATTTATATACATTTATATACATATTTACAACCTAGCTTCTTATCCATCTCCTTTTTCCCTTTGTAGTCTTTTTATTCATATCATATTTGTCCATTATATTTCATTTTCTTTAATTTACAAAACTTTTACTTTCAGTCCTATAAAGCATCAACAATTTCTTCTTTTCCTTGACTCCAGCCATTGATACATTTTACTCCAGACTTCATAGAACTGTCTCACCCTTATCCTTAATTTCTGATTAATCTGTCCAT